GCACTGAACACGAAAATCTTGCACTCCCTTTTCTCTTTTAAAGAGATCAGCATCCGTCTAGGATGTGTCTGGGAGTGTCGCCTGCAAAGAAAGCCAGCATCTGTCCAGAGCACTGCGGAGGATGTGAGGTGGCTTGCTTTTGGTCAAGTGATCCGCAAGTTGCGAACCGGTCTCCATCCATTTAAAAGTCTCCTTCAAGGCTTCCTGCTCTGGATCAAACTCTGCTGCACCTTGCTTGATCGCTCCTAAGTCAATAGTCAGCCTCTTTTCCTGAGTGGCCGCAACTGGTCCGTCTTTAGTAAGGAGGTCATAAAGGCTCCTACAATCCGTTACGGGGTGTACGGGGAGAAAAGATGCGGGCAGTGTGCCACTCTGGATTGGCGAATATGACTCGATGAGGATCTCGGCTAAAAGCTCTCTCAAGAAGATACCGGAATCAAATCCAGCATCTAGCGACATAGTCTCTGCCGCAAGAGTAGAGCGGCACTGTCGCCTAATCTTGTGAGACCGCCAGTCGATCAAGGAAGCTACATCCCCGGCCGGCGAGAAAACTTCGGGCCCTGCTACAAACGTTAGGTACCCTGCTTGGCTGCCGAGGTCCTCGGTGTTGCCCCAAGAAGCGTCACTGAAGACCACAACCTTGCCCTTCGCGAGGTCCACGGGAGCAAAGAGTATGCCCCAGTCAGCGCAGCGCTGTGCTTCACGCAGGAGGCCATTGACCTGCATGAGGTTGGCAACTGTTGGTTGCCCGGCCATATTCAAGGAAGTGCTGGCCGCCAGATCCGGTCGAGTCTGGCCTGTGAGCCAATGAAGACACCCGCCAGCTGATCGAAGCTCAGTCATCTCTGACCGCGTCAAGGGATCATTTGGCTTTGCGGATCTCCACCTTGGCACAGGTGTCACAGCGATGGCCTTGCAAAAACTCTCCTGTGTGAGCTTGACGCAACCATCCGGTAAACGACGGATCTGCTTCCCTCCGTATTCAAGCACAGCGTCCTGTCGTGTGTCCGCCCAAGTGCCGAAGTCGAAGGCCGCCTTGATCTTGTCGATGACCTTGTCGGCGAGTCCAGGGATGCCAGTGCCAATGAGGTCGTCGACGTGGGCACCCATCACGAGGATGAGCTCGCTGGACTGGTAGTAGAAGAAAAGTGCTCTGTCGAGCACCGACTGGACAAAGCCTGTTTGAGGAGCGTGTCTCGAAGAAACCTCCAAAACAAGCGAGGACTGTTTGCCAGCCCAAAAATGCCTCTCACTACCAGTAGCAACTGGCCTGCCACAAGGCCTGGGAGGCCTTCGCGTGGTTGACGAAGAAACAGCGCGTCTGACCTGCTTGCCAGCGACTGGTCTCCTTGAAGGAAGGCGCCGGTGATGTCCGCGTTGAAGAGAAACCAGTTGGACATCGAGGCAGCTATCTGCAGGATGCACATCAGCCCGGCTCGGGTCAAAGTGGGTGCATCTCGACGGAGTTCCAGCAAATCCGGATCCCTGTCTCCTCGGCACACCAGTCGCGCCTTTGGCTTCATAGGGCGCCAAGGGGTTGCAGCACGCTTGTCTCTATAGCACACACGCGTGGGAAGTATTCGGTCAGGGAAGTTGGCCTCGACTTCTGCGCTAGCTTGAAGATCCAAGGCCTTCACTGCTTCGTACTTCACCCAAGTGCCCCACTCCTTCGCCAGAGCCTCCTTGTAAGCTTCACGATGTTCTTCCGGAATCATGTTCCACGGTATCTCGCGAACGAGGGCCTTCTGCTCCTTGCGGGTCGTCGCGAGAGCCACGCGTACTTGTAGTCCGGGAAGATACGTCTCGATGAAGTCGCAGTCGGCGAGGGCGTAGTACTCCTGCTGAGTCACGGGCACGTACTTATTCACAAGCATGGCATTCGACTCCATGGCTTCCTCCAGTGGCTCTTCCATGAGCCGTTCCAGCTCGCGGTCGGCGAGGTGCTGAGCGTTGACCGCACCCTCAAGGAGGACGTCGTTGATCCGCAATCGTTTGGTTGCGGGCTCTGAGCTCGCAGCTTGCGGCGTTCCAAGTGGCCTGCTCGACGGAGAGGGTTGCGTCAGGTCCGTCCCGACTGACTCCTCCTCCTGCGGCGCTAAGTCCACGTGCTCTGCTCGCTGTGCTGGAGGTGGAGGTGTCTCGGGCTCGCCAACGTCGTCCAGGTCAAACTCCTCGGCATGGTCCACCTCGGGGAAGAAGTCCGGAACAGGGGCGTCTTCTGGAGGAGGTTCGCCGCGTTCGTCACGGAAGTCGTCAGGGCCGTTGTCCAGGAAGCTGTTAAGGACACTCTCGTCAACTCGCCAAAGTTCGCTGCCGTACGCCGCGCGAACTTGCTCTTGAGAAACCAACAAGCAGCGACAATGATGGTCCCACGATGCCATCCAGCTGGCATCCGTTTCAGCTTCCTTGTGCGTGGGTCTTTCCGTTGCCTCGCTTCTCGCCAGAAAGCCACGGGTTCACCTGCTTCGTAGCTTTGCCGTCCAGGTCGACCTTGCCGTAGCACAGCTCGACGAAGGGCGTCGTTCACCTTGAACTCCGCGATCTTCAGGTCCGCGGTGGTCCGAATGACGTGCCGCCGTCGAAGCTCGGTGTCCTGGTCCAAAGCTTCCATCGCTTGCATCTTGCCGTCAGGGGACAGGACGTCGATGGGAGCCTTTGGGTCCTTTCCAAAGACCCACTGGTTGGCGGAAGCGCCGGACGTCCTGACGGACGCATTCATGGATTGCCCGACGATGGCCGACATGACCTTCATCTCGTGCGCGCCGGACAACTGCTGTTCATCCACCACCTTCGCGGCAACGTACTGGAACGCCCGGTTGTAGGACTCCACCTCGCCGAGTTGCCAGTGGGAGTCCGCGGCACAATGCTCCAGGCTCGTACCAACTCCTTGGAGTAGCTCCTGGAAAGGTCCTTCAAAGGCACCGTCCTGGTCCAGCATGATGACATCCGGAAAGCCTGCCCACGAACACCATATAGTGCAGAAAACGTCAAAGACTTCCTCGGGTACTCTGGACGCGAACGGGTAGAAGACGTTGAAGCCGCCGTTCGGTTCCAGAACGCGCAGGAACATGTAGTTGTCGCCGTTGGCGTCGGGCGCGTACACAAAGTCCATGGCAAGCTTGCTGTTGAAGGGGCCCATGACTTTCAGCGAAGTTGGTCTCGGTGGCGGTGGCCTGCGTGTCCGTTCGCATGTAGAGCAGCGAAGTCGACGACTCAAACCCACCGCCTCCGGCGCGACCTGCTTGTTAACAGCCAAGGCACGAGCGAAATCTTCGGGTCGAGGATGTCCAAGGTTGCGGTGCATTCGCACCAATGCCTTAGCCAGCTTCTTCTCCTTGTCGCGCAACGGTGCTCCGACGAACCAACACTCGCCTGAAAAGTCCTGCTTGACCACGCCTTGCTCGATCAGGGCCTCGTGCACCTCGTCCATCACCATGGCGTTGCCGTCCGGGGGCACGAGGACCTGGTCGTCGTCAATCTCCTGGCGAGGAGGTACTTGAGCAGGATTGGGCAACGCAGGCTCGCCTGGGGCCTCTCCAAGAACGAAGATCGCTACACGGACTGGCGCAAAGAACCGCTCTCTCGGGGCCTGCGACTCCTTGATGAGCTCCGACTCGATGACCACCGAATCGTCATTGAGCAGGAGGACGGAGGCCCGGTGACAATGCTCCAGTCCGGCACGCACTCGTTTAGCTTTCGGCAAACTTGCTACTTGTACCGCGTGAATCTTCCAAGGGACCAAGACCTTGATCTTGGCGTACAGGTCAGAGTCCTCGTACACGGCCAAGTTCAACTGGTTCTTGCGACCCAGCATTTCTTGCGCTTGCTCAAGTAAAGGTCGCCATTTTGATTCAACGCGGTCCACGTCGACGTAGAAGACGGTGCGACTGGTTGCCCACGTGGTCGTGAGTCCAAGGTCCTCTGCCTTGACCATGCGCCAGTAGCCAGAGCAGATCGCATCCGCCAACTCGATCGTGTATCGCCCCGCCGCCTTCGTGCTGCTGCCCTGCACCACCTCGTGCTCCTGGGTGCAGTTGCATTGGTCACGGAGGTCGTCCAACAACAAAGGACTCGTCGCCAGGAAACGCGTCTGCTTCTTCATGAGGCCACCGTTCTTGCCCCGCAAGTTATAGCGGCACATAGACACCGTGGACTCATAATATCGTTGTCGTAGACGTAGTAGAGGAGGTTCTCGAAACGAGTCGGCGCCCGCAGGGTTCTCCGCCAAGGCGTGGGCACCTCGCCGTTGTTGACTCTCGAAGATGTCCTCCACCAACTGCAAAAAAGGGCGTTCCTGTTCGCGAAGCCGGTCGAGCAGCTCGAGGTCGTGCTTGTAGTTGTTGTTCCGTTGCAGAACGGACCACAAAGTACAAGGGAAGGCTATTACGGCTTGCCGAGGATTCTTCGCATCCAACGTGTCCAACAACCATCGCCTTTGCTTCGCATCGGACAGGTCACAGCCAAACTCGAGGTCGATAGGCTGTAAAGCTCGCGTGCCGTGGTATCGGGCGCCGCGGAAGGTCACCGTACCGGAGCCTGCAAAGACTTCGATGATGTCGTACTTGAAGCTCCGCCGCGGCCAGCGCTTCCCAGAGGCATGCGTGCTGGTCACACCTTTGATCAACTTGGAGCTTGCCAAGGCCTGCCGCGCCGACGTCTGCATCCTGCGTAAGGCGCTCTTTGAGGGGTTCACCACTCCTCCTCCGACATGGGCACCGTTGCTGTCGCCAGCACTCGCTCGTACTCCTGGTCGGTGTCGCCGGTACACCAGGGTGTGCGTAGTCGTACTCGGTCTCGCGGACGATGCCGTGGTTGCCGTAGGCGCCGTCGAAGGTCTCGTCTTGGAAGTCCGCGTCGAAGCCGATTTTGCCGCCGCCGTACTGCTGGTCGAAGGCGTTGGCCCCGAAGAGCGCGCCGAGCAAGAGTAATAACAGCTGACCAATGAGTCTCGCTCGGCCTCGGGGGTTACTCCCGTGTTCTTGTCGATGGCGCCGCCTGGAACACGTCGTCGACCATGCTCGAGCTTGTACACGGGCACCATCTCGTTGGTGATCGGGACGCGGTAGTCCGGCTTGAGGGCCTTCCAAACCTTCCCGCAAAGGATGCATTCCATGAACTTCCTGTGGGCATTCCCCGTGCGGCGGCCCATGTCCACTGGGTGAGCACATCGAAGAGGTTCTCGCGGATATGCCGTTGTCGCCGCCGGCGTCTGCCCTGGGCCGAATCGTCCTCGGAGGCATCGTCGCTGGCATCCAAGTCGTCTCCTTGCTGGTCAAGGCCTTGGCGTATGCCGTCAGAGCGGGGGACCGGTGCGAGGAGTCCTGCAGCATCTTGTTGTAGTAGTTGGCCTTGTCGACCCAGTCGAAGATCATCACGATCTGCTGCACGATGCGGCTCCATTGTTCGCCCCGGGCGATCGCGAGGAGGCATTGGCGTCGAAGGTCGTGGCAGGTTGAGTCGTAGGACCGTCTGAGCCAAACTCGCCCGGCGGAATGGAGAACTTGCTTCTGCGCTTCGAAGAAGGGAGCTCTGGGGGCCTCACGTTGCTAAGGTCAAACTGATGAATCTTTTTAGAATTCACTTCCCTCAGCTGGTGTGGCTCAACAACGTGCTCGGTCCCATCATGCAAACGGACATGCACCTGTCGCTGCACAGACTTGACAAAGGAGGAGTCAAGAAAGCCCTCTGCAGTAAACTTGCCCTTTACGAAGAAGACGGTAGCCCCAACCCAAGGAACTTGCAAACTCGGTACACCTGCTTCTGGTCTACAAGTGGCTGGGGCAGGCAAGAAGCTACGGTTACTCTTTCCTGGGCAAGCGTGTCAAGGTCCGGTCCTGACGTGTCCGGCAGGAACAGCTGGGTGCGTGGCCGCCGATGGTGTCGAACGAAAACCTGACCCGCAACGTGGAACTCCCAGAAGTCGTTGTCCACTCTGCAAGGCATTGTTTAAGCGTCATTGGGCTCATAGAGATGAGTGGGGGCAAAGTCCATGAGGCCTAGCATCGGCAACGTCGAAGTAGAAGTCGTTGTGGTCGCCGTCGACGTGGAAGTAGCCGTCGTCGCCATCACGTGGTGGCCGTCGCCTTCGAAGAGGACCCCGGGGTAGCCGTCCTTGCGTGCATGCAGCCCCGGCGGCCAGCCTTCGGTCGGAAACTCGTCGATGGCGATCACGAGGTGGCCGGTGACGTCGATGTACAAAGGCACCGTGAGGTTCAGCTCGCGGATCAAGCATACGTGCTCTCCCACGTCGATGCACACGTTGGCGAAGACCATCCAGTCCTGTCCGGCAAGGAATCTTTGGGGTCCTGGCATCGTCCACGGCAGAGGTGTGAATCACCATGGGCACGCCAGCGACCGACACGGGCACCGACCAACGTTCAAGAGAAGGAAGGGGAGCACCAGGTCTAAAGCAGTACTTCTCGTCCTCCGCCGAAACGATAGCTTTCAGCCCAAGTCCCGCCTGAAGCCGGCCCGAAATTCCAGAGTCAAGTAGGAACGGCCAGGTTGCACCGTGGGAGCTCGCCGCATGTTGCTGTTGACACCTCTGGCGGGGGCCCCTGGCGCGAAAGTCGAATGCCTCAAGGAATTCGTCATCAACACGCCTCGGCGCAACTTGTCGACGTCGATGGGGTCCTTGTCCTTCTTCGCCAGGATGTCCATGACGGAGGGCTGGTTCGAAGCCACGGGCTTAATGCCGAAGTGGGTGAAGGCCTGGTCGATCGCCTAGAGCTCGTTGACATAGCCGATCTCCGGCCCGCCTCGATCCGCGCCTTCACCGCTGCAGCGTCGAGGTAGTCGTCGGAGGTGACGGCGGCCTGAACCTTGTCCACCGCCACGTTGCCTGTCAGACCAGCCTTGCCAATCACCCGGTTCACGCCCCTGGCCACTTGCTCGGCTTCATGTCGAAGAGGATCCTTGCTCGATGCTGGTGGAAGGCGGCTGGCTGCAAATCCATAGCGATTTGTCGCCCAAGCATCCCAGTCGTCTTGACCATGTCCTTGGTCGTACCAGCTGCCGTCGTCCTCGTCCTCCTCGCCGTCCGCGTCTTCCTGGCGCCCAGTAGCGTGAACGGCCTTGGCACCAAGGCATCCGGGGTCGCCTTTCCAGTGACCTTTCTGGCCACACTCAGCGCACGTGGTCACCGCCTTGAGCTCGTCGAGCGTCATGCCGCGAGCACGTCCGCCTTTGCTTTGCCCTTGCTTGCCTCCTTTGCTCTTGCCTTTGGACTTGCTCTTGCCGCCCTTGCCAGAGGACTTGCCGCTGCCGACATAGTAGCCACGCGCCTGCACGCCTTTCGCCAAGCGCTGCCGATTCTCCCGGTGAGTGGAGAAACAAGAATGCAACTCACGGGCCACATCCTCGGGCAGCAGCTCGCAGTTGTCCAAGCCGAAGTTCTCGGCAAGCCGCTCGGCCGGGTCAAAGTCCAGGAGATAGGCCTCCAACTGGGCCTCAGTCGCCCACTCATTCGGCACCGGTTGGTGCCAAAACTGATCCCCATGCACCTCGTGAGCCTGGCGTTGTCGCCCACCACGTCCAAGAGGAGGAGGATCACGACCTCCCGTTCTGACAGGGACGTTCATGTAGAGGAGCTCGACCGCCTTCTTCATGGCACGCCAGTTGTACTTGCCCTCGGTGCGCAGGAGCAGATTGGCCTGCCTCGCTGACACCGGCATGCTCGAAGAAGAAGTAGATCATGATCTCGTCCGGGATGGACAGCTCGGCCTCTTTGCAGCGCCGTGCTGCTCGATCCATCTGATCCATGACCTCGATCATTGTGTGTTGCTTTCCTCCAAGGTCCAATCGAAAGAACCCACGCATAGCAGAGGAGACCTGGTGCATCCTGGTTTCGCCAAACTTGTCTTGCAGGACCTTCAAGAGAACCTTCCAGCCAGCTTCGACCCCGAAAGTTCGGGCTGGCACGTCTTCAAGATAGTCCGCGGCATCCCCGTCCAAGGCTGCATGTAGACGAAGACCGATCTCCGCATCATCAATGATGTTCTTGGCGATCTCGACATAGCTATCCACCTTTGCCGCATACTTTCGAAAGCATTTGGGGTCAGCACGCCTATCGCCAGTGAAGATCGGAGCACTTGGCAGGTTGCCTCGAGGTTTCCTCTGCTCCTTGTTCTTATCCTTGGCCTGGGGCAAGCGGAGACCAGTACCAGACAGCTCTCGCCTATCAGGGGTCGAGGAAGACGAAGTGGATCCGGCTCGAGGTCCGCGCCGGCCCAAGGTAGCCGCGCCGCCGCAAGCAGCAGAGGCAGGAACAGCCTCCTCGTCGACAGCAGTGTCCGCCATCAACTCTTCCTCTTCATCTTCTTCCTCTTGTCCGCCTCCCACAAAGGCGTCTAAGTCCGGAAGCTGATCTTCATCCTCTTCAGTCTCTCCGTCCCCAGGGGGCGCGTCAGGCGTCCACGAGGGATCCATGTAGCTGCAGCGCTACCAATGCAAGATTCTGGATTCAACTCCTA